ACGCAGGCAGTCCCTGTGTGACCAAACAATGTGCCATTCACCCTGCAGTGTCCACCATTCTTCTCAGAGTCATACACAGAGTACGGAAAATTGGACCTGAGATCTGGCGAGGCGCTGAGTGTGGTTGAGAATGTGCGCTGTGCCTTATTGGTTGCACAGGATTACACTGTCTTGACACGAAGGGAGAAAGTTCTGAGAATAGAGATAGTTGACTGTCTGATCAGCTGGAGGTCAGACACACTATGTAATCTCTTTTTAAGCATCTGAAGCACCAGCCTTGTCTGACTGCCAAGCTGGACGAGTGGCAAGTTGTAGCAGGCTGCAAGCGTTTTAGAGCCCCAGCAGGTCTACTCCAGAACACCAGCAGGTCACCACCACAACAATCATAATAGACTCAGCAGAGCAGAATAATGGCTCCAACTGGCATCAGATGCTGAATAATGGGCCTGGAGGGAGGCTGACATCCTTTCGCAGCTATATGATAGGATTACAGTGGAGATACAATTTTAAAAAATATGGCAAAAATTGCCTGAAAGAACAATTTTCCACTTGTTCTAAGATTAAAAGTGGTCTAAATGTGTATATCTTCCAACTTTGCTTGTCGTAAAAAATTTGGAAAAAGAGGCTGCTAACCTCTTTCTTACTTCCCGTCACCTTATTGCAGAATGCTGGTGCATTAATGAAGAGTTTGCTCTTGAATTACCAATGTAGGGGATGATTGAATGCATCATATTTATCCATTCAGCCTGCTTTGTGTCACACATCAGTGCTCATTAAATCAATTGTTAACTTTATGTTGAATAAAGGAGACTCCTCTTTTCTCTGTAGAAGTTCATACTTAATAAATCTATATTGCACAAGATCCTTTCTGCTGTTGCACTTTGGTCACAAATGTTAGCGATACTGCCTTTGCAAACATTTGTGGGGTTTTCTAATATTTTTTTGTACAAAGAAATAAATATTTTTAGTTAAATTACAGTTCATGTTGTTTTGCTTTGGTGTGAGGTTGGGAGGATTGAGAGTATTTCTACTGCACTAATATTCTTATATGTTAGAAAAACTGGTTCAAAAGTTCAGATATTAGCTGTAAAGTTTTAAAATGTATAGCAGGGTTTTCAGTCATGAAATAGGTGCACGAATATATCTGAAGTAATTTTTACCGTGTTGTTGTATAAAACCCACCATGAAGTATTTCTTTTGGACTTTTTCTGATGGAATAACACTAAGTGTTGACAGGGAGTAAGACATCTGCATAGATTTTAAAGTGACATGAACATTGGTATTTGTTTTATTAAGCACACTTAATCTAGCCTTAGTAACTGCTTGAGGATGCTACTTAGTCTCCTTAAGCTTTAATGGCAGAGACTCAATTATCTGCATATTTAAAGTAGTAACGTACTATACTGATTAATTGATAGATTGATAGATTGATTGATTGATTGACTGACTTTATTGATCTCACAGTGGAGAAATGTACTCGTTACATGAGCTCAAATTGTCAAAAGAGAATAAGCCAGTGCCAAAAGAAGAGAAAGTTGCATTGGATATATACCGGTACAGTATATATAGTGCATCCTCATATGACAGCTTTTTGAAAATGTATTTATTTATTTATTTATTTATTTATTTAACTATTTATTCATTATATTAATATAATATAATGAATAAATAATTATACAGGGTTATTGCACAGGGTGTTTACATGGGTATTTATATATGTAGATTTATATATATAGTTTTTGCACTGGGTGTCAAATAGAGAAACAGGTTAATGCACAGGGTATCAAATAGTAAATTGCAGGTTATACATTGCACAAGTTATTGCTGTTGCAATGTAAAGTCTGGTTGCAGCAGGAATGAATGACCTGCGGTAGCGCTCCTTTTTACAAACAGGGCGTAAAAGTCTATCACTAAAGGAGCTGCTCAGATCCTCTACAGTTTGGTGCAGAGGGTGGAAGGTGTTGACCAAGAAGGATGACAGCTTGGACAGCATCCTCCTCTCGGCCACTTCCTCCACTGAGTTCAACGTGCAGCCTAGGACAGAAGCGGCCTTTCTCTCAGTCTCTTGTGGGATTAACTCTGTTAGACGGTTGAGTAAAGGGGCTATTAACATATGTAAAGTTGATATGAATTATTTACTGGCTTTACATTCACATTAATGAATTATGAAAGTAGGAATTAAATAAATTTGGCTTTTTAATCAGCCATTATTTGTACAGGTAGTCTCATTAATATCCCATATCTCGCTTTGAAGAAATACCTGTTTTATAATACAAACACTACAAAACAAAAACAATAATATTTTACAAACATAGTAACAATACAAGGGATTAAAACACTCAAATAAATAAGCTAAGAAGCTATGGATTTATGTTGTGCCCATTAATTTTCCTGTTGTAGATTGACCCTGAGGTTCCGATGCCTTTCAACTTTCGGCCACCCCTCAGTTTACATTGGTTATTTCCTTATGAAAAATTTCTGGCTACGCCTCTGTTTGCAGACTGATTTAGGGAGAAAAACAAANTTTTACCAGAGTATTTTTTAACACAAGTATCTGTACTTTTACTCAAGTACGGAAAGTGAGTACTTTTGCCATCTCTGGTTTGCAGACAGGGACAGAGCTAGATGGGGGGCCAGGGGTGGCCATGGCCACCCTTAGCCAATCATTGTCCACCCCTACCATTTTTGTCCCTCTAATACAGATACTGTAGTGGAAGTAGTAATTCCTCTCAAGAGGAATATTTAAAACAATAAAATTTTTTATTTATTAAAAATTACTTGACAACAAAAACACATAAATTCTGCACATCAATATACCAACATTAAAGATGATAAGTACAGAATTCATGCTTTTTTCAGAGCTAGATTTTGTGTTATACAAGGTAAAGAGACAATTATGTGTCTCTGCAGGTCATCTAAGAGTTTATTTTAATAAAATGTATTAAATAATCAATTTATGTAGATATTAGTACTTCTAAATATCAATTTTATGCAGAATGATTATTGATAAAAGTAGGTAAGTAATGACAATAGAAAAGATGTCCGCCCAAAACTCAAACCTCACAGAATTGTATCCACTATAACTTTTATCTAGAAAGCACAGATGTTTAAATATTTATGTGTCTATTTGTTGGCAAAGGTTGTAGAAAAGTACAGTTAGTCTTTATTTAGAAAATATGGATGTTGTGCCCATTCGTTTTCCTGTTGTAGATTGACCCTGAGGTTCTGATGCCTTTCAACTTTCGGCCACCCCACAGTTTACATTGGTTATGGCCTGGCTGCCCTTATAAAAAATTTCTGGCTACGCCTCTGTTTGCAGACTGATTTAGGGAGAAAAACAAAATTCCAGGACGATTCTGGCAAAGCAAAGCATGTTGGAAAATTCAGCGTAATCTAACTTCCTTTAAGGTGTAAACTTTTCTATGCTTACTGTGGAGACTGCTTCTTTGGTGGGATGCAAGTACTGTAAAAAGATATGTGACATCATAGAACACCATGGTCTCATCCAAGTCCAGCAGTTTCAGGTTCTTTATCCTGTTAGAGAAGTCCTGTAAGTTAGCAATGCAACGTGTCTGACTCACCTCTCAGATACACAGAGGTCATCTGTGTTTCATTTAATGTCGGTATAAGCCTTTTTGTGAAGGCGTCAGAAATCTGGTAAACAAACTGCCTCATGAAGAGAGAGAAATAGAGCAGACAGAGAGGAAATGCAGTTATGGGGCAGTGTAAAGATGGGATAGGTCGTAAATTTACAACCTTCATTTTTAAACAACTCACAGTCCATAATCTAGAAATTTAAATAATAGGACACAAATGCTATTATGAAGACACCAAAGATGACAGGCAGGGCGTTGATCAGAGAATCAGGCAATAGCTCCATGGTCACTGAGAGGAAGCAGTTTGATTGCTATTCTTGCATTCCTTGATATAAAAATACCAGAAAGTTCAAATGAGGCCATAATAAGTCCTGTTTAAAGTTGGCCATAACCAGGAAATGGGTCACTAGAAACAAGAAAATCCTAAAATTTGCCATAATGCTGATAGCTTTAGATGTTACAGTAATCATGGAAAGATGGATTGAGCACATTACAAAAGAGTTCCAAAATTATGTCGATTGGTGGCCTTGTGGTTGGGAATCCAGAGGTTCTGAGTTCAAGCCCCACTCCCACAGACTGTCACTCTGGGTCTCCACACTACTCCCTGGGCGCCCCGAGATGGCAGCCCACTGCTCCCCAAGGGGATGGGTTAAATGCAGAAGTATCTGTTTCCAGTGTGAGATCAATTAAGTTCAATTATTACTATTATTATGAAGATTTTCATTTAAATGCTTCTTATGTAATAATAGCCAACCTTAGTTCTTTTCCACTTAGTTCATTTAGTTGCTCTGTACTTGTGACAGTGGAATGACAATAAAAGGCTTTAGAAGGCTTCATGCTGGGGCTGCGCTTCATCCAGATCAGGAAAATAACCCTAAACATACAGGCAGATTACAGAATTACAGCCCAGCCAAACTACTGACTGTAATCCAAGCAAGGTTCTTTATAAAGATTTGAAAAATGCAGAACCGCAGCTTTCTTTGATCAGTCAGGCAGACCTTAAGCTATTTTGTGAAGCACAAAAAAAGGATACATCCCCAAACCCTGCAGCTATAATTAAAGCAAAAAGTAATTTTAGAAAGTCTAAACAAAGAGGGACTAAATACAAAAACGAGATGTATGTTTCAGAGGTTTTTTTTTTGTTAAGAATTTTCAAAACCAATCATGTTTCTTCTACTTTACTCCCTTGAGATACTTAATCAGACCTATCTTTGTCCCTAAAAATATATATATATAAAAGTTTGTTCTAGCAATAAAACTGAATTGTGTGAAAAGTTAAATAATAAAAAGCAGTGGGTCAGTAGGTCATCTGCTTCATCCTGGGGTCTAAAGCTAAATGAGGGCGGTTCAAAACTTTTTCTGAGGATTCCCCCCCCCCCCCCACCAACTAACTGTGCCCTCCAGTGGATAGACGCCGCAGCTTCTTTGGCTTCTTCAGCGCACAGATCTTTTTACTTTATATCTATGGATATAAATGGATTTTTCAGGGTTTCCTCTGATGGATTTTGCTTAGATGAGGGAAACGTTGCTTGTTGTTCAGTTTGATCGCTTGGATAAACGCGGCTGTCATCGCCTCCCCAGTGAGGAAACCAGAAGAGGAAGCGCGTCTGTTTCAGAACCAGCAGGAGGACGGTTCATCAGGCGGATCCAAACATTTAGGATTTATTTATTCACTTTTAAAGGTTTGCATCCAGTTACCCTGTAATATTTTACTAAGCTCCGAGGCGGAGGAAGAAAAGTTAGTTACTTTTTTTCTTTACAATTCTTTGCGCTTTGGTGGATAACGCGTTAAAAGTTGTAAAAAGCTCGGACAGCTATTTTAACGCGTAATGGCTTTGTTTGTGTTCTTGGGTTCATTTTATTTTATTTTTTGCATATTATTCTATTTCCTTTGCCAAAACTTAAAAATATTATATTTGCTGATTTTGTTTTCTGCTTTGATTGCACCAGGCTAGACCAGACTAGACCGTCTAGGTTCAGTTCAGGTCAGGATTTCATTCATGTAATTACTGTCATTTAGCCTCCTAATGTCAACATAGTTATTTTCTCAGCATGTCCATTATCAACATTGTACAAACACACATATTGACTGTTTGCTTCTGCATAACCTCATCTAATAAATTACTGGATATGTGCAGGTTACCTCCTCACTGGTCTGATCTAAGTGCAACAAGTACCAGCAGGGCCGCATCTAGGGCCCAGTGAGCAAGATGGGCAACTTTACCACAAAGGATAACCATGGAAACACAGGTAGGTCAGCAGACAAACATAAGCAGCTATTAGCAGGGCTGGTTCTTGTATAATCAGGGTCCTGGTGGAGCCCCTCATTTGGCCCCCATGGGGCCAAACTTACCTTTATTTTTTGTAATCCAAATAAAGCATCTTTTGGATTACAAAAAATAAAAGTAAGTTTGACCCCATGGGGGCTAAACGAGGGGCTCCATGGGGCCAAACTTACCTTAATATTTGTAATCCAAAAGAAGCATTTTTTGAAATACAAAAATAAAGGTAGGTTTGGCCCAATGGGGGCTAAACGAGGGGCTCCATGGGGCCAAACTTACCTTAATATTTGTAATCCAAAAGAAGCATCTTTTGAAATACAAAAATAAAGGTAAGTTTGGCCCAATGGTGGCTAAATCAGGGGTTCCATGGGGGCAAACTTACCTTCATTTTTGTAATCCAAAAGATGCTTCTTTTAGATTACAAAAAATAAAGGTAAGTCTGACCCCATGGGGGCTAAATGAGGGGCTCCATGGAGCCAAACTTACCTTAATTTTTGTAATCCAAAAGAAGCATCTTTTGGAATACAAAAAGAAAGGTAAGTTTGGCCCCATGGGGGCTAAATCAGGGGTTCCATGGGGCCAAACTTACCTTCATTTTTGTAATCCAAAAGATGCTTCTTTTAGATTACAAAAAAGAAAGGTAAACGTACCAAACGTACCTTTTATTTTTTTTATCCAAAATATGATTATTTTTGGTTACAAAAAATAATAGGTAAGTTTGGTCCCATAGGGGCTAAATGAGGGGCTCCATGGGGCCAAACTTACCTTAATTTTTGTAATCCAAAAGAAGCATCTTTTGGAATACAAAAAGAAAGGGAAGTTTGGCCCATTGGGGGCTAAATCAGGGGTTCCATGGGGCCAAACTTACCTTCATTTTTGTAATCCAAAAGATGCTTCTTTTAGATTACAAAAAATAAAGGTAAGTTTGACCCCATGGGGGCTAAATGAGGGGCTCCATGGGGCCAAACTTACCGTACCTTTATTTTTGTAATCCAAAAGAAGCATTAGCTTCTTGTTAATTATCAAATATATTATGAACTGAAAACCAACATGATTCAGTTTTAAAGCAAAATAAATAGATATAAAAATATCAGAAATATTTTAAAACACAAGGAAATAAAACCTTAGTTTTTCCCTTTGAAATTTAAATTTCCCAAAGTGTTTTAGGATGCATTCACAGCTGAAATGAAGGTAGATGTGTATTTTATTATTCATCTTTTTGTCTTGTTTGTTTGGAAGGGGTAAATGCACAATCAAAACACCTACGTCATCTATTTCAATCGACTTGTGTCGTATTTGATCATATTCATTCTTTTGTAATAAGAAATTAGATTTATGACTAATAAGTCATTAGAAAAATAAACATAGTCGATTATGGGAAAGGACAAGAGGAGAGCAAGCAACAAATTCCACTTAAAGAGTGGGTGTCTTGGATGTGATTGTGAAACTGAAGGCAACAAAGGGAAAAGCAAGGGTGCAGCTGAATGTGTGGGACTGGAGGAATCTTGGCAGCGTTCCTGTCCGTTGCTCAGTGAGTGGTCATTCTCCTTGTGTCCCTATGTTATTCGTCCTGGGCCCGTCAAGCCAGCTGTGATGACTCAGCAGAAATCCCCTGCTCAATGCAAGGGCAGTGGATTAATCATAGGAGGCCTAATGCTGTCTGAAACACACGTTCACATACACACTTGAACTTTGTTCAAATCCGTCTCAGTTTATTGCTCCATCCAGCCACTTCACCACCCATGCACATTTTTGGGAGAGGGTTGGAAGGAAAGATAAAAAAAAGTGTTTCATCTTTATCAGACAATCCTGTCATTCTCCTTGAGTGAGTTTGGCCTTGAAGCAGGAGGTGCATAACTTTACTAATGTTCAAATGCAGCTCTTACATCACTTCAGGAAAAAAAAAAAAAAATCACTTTGCTAGTAGAGTTGCTTTTGCCCAAACATGGGAAAGAAAGAATATGCTGTTCTCCCGTTTTTATAGTGTTTGTAAAAGTGTAATTATTGCTTAGCCAAAGAGTGGAAATAATGTGTGCTTTTGTATCAAACCTTATAATTTATAGAAAGCCTAATGCTGCAACCATGTCTTAATACTCAAAATGTTGCCCCTGTGTTATTTAATGTGGGAAATGAGTGATGCGGCTTTCAACTTCAGGATAATAGCCTGGCTTTTTTGTGAGAGTCACCACTCTAAATAATGTTTTCATTGTCAACACAAAGGACTATAGATGACTAAAGATATATTTATTTCTTACTGTGGCCACAATTCAGTTGTTTTTATTGTTTTTGCCGTGTCCTGCAGCTGCTTGCAGAATCTTTGATGTTCACTGTTGTGAAATACAAAATTATTCATTCCCTTTGGAGAATACTTTACATTTTGTCATGTTGCTAATCACCATATTTAGAAGCAGAATGAATATTGTTTATGGTTTTCAATGCGTTTAGTGTTTGGTGTTCAACTTACTGGTGATTAGTGTTTAATACATTGGAGAAAATACTTTACCTTTTGCTGCAAATAGAGCTTCAATGTTGTTTGTGCTAAACCTTTCCTGTTTTTTTTTTGTTTTGTTTTTTTACAGTTAAAGCTCTATCAGACTCGATAGCTGGTTGTTTAGGTTCTTAGTTGAAGTTATGTCTGAACTCCTTCCATACTTTTCTGGGCAGATTTGCTCTGCCTACTAAAGAATCACATCCCTACAGCATCGTGCTTGCACGGCCATGTTGTGTTTAGTGGGATCTGCAGTTTATTAAGCACACATAGGGCCTGAGTTTCAAAAGGTTTTCACGTATTAAAACACTTGCTGGTGAAGATTCTCAGTCAAAATAAAAAAACAAGCTTCTAGACTTCTAAGTTTGAAGACGTTTTGCTTCCCATCCAGGAAGCTTTTTTCCCGGGAAGTTTGTCCGTTTCAATTTGCATGTTTTCTAAATGCAGATTTACATGAGAAAAGATTTACACGAGAAAAATCTGTGGGCAGCTTTTCTTGTATGTGTGCAGTAATGAATGTGCAGATCATATTCTAATGACCACACCACACAAATGTATTGGTGGAGAACACAGAGCTTGTGAAAGTCTGCATCCTTTACATGAAATGGCTACCACCATGTTTCACTGTGGAAATTGTGTTCACAGGATGTCAGCGTTCAATATTTCACCACACATGATGTTAAAGGTTAGAAGAAACAGACTTGATATTGGAACACACTTTCTCATAATTTTTGCTTGTCGATCAGTGAACCCAAGTGTGTGCAAAAATATGATGTACTATGGAAGAAATACAATAGTTAAGACTGATGCAAACAGTGATAAGAACTTGTGTTTAAGAGGATGCAAGTTGCATTTCCACATGGTAGACATGTCAAGCATAAACCAACCTTTACGCTTTGTGAAGACCTTTAGTTTTGCCGTAAACTTTGGAAATAATCGGTAAAATACAGAACATTGAAAGTGTAATTGTACATTTGCATGTTTTCTTTCTAAGGTGCACCTTTGGACAGTTTCCACACTCCTCCTTCATCTCCACAGAGCACTATTCCTCAACTTCCACCTCGCACATCCTCTACTTTATCGCCAGCACCGGCTGCAACCATCACCTCCACTGGCAGGAAATCCCAGCCATGCTCTCCAAGGACCCTCATCCCCCCTCCTGACTGGAGACCTCCCCCACCAGTCAGTTCAAACAGCTCTGCAATCAGTCCTGTAATAAGCCCAGCCCTCAAGGAGACAGGCAAAGGCCAAGCATCATCAGGGAGAAACGGGGGACTACTGACCAGTACATCCAGGACTTTAGGCTCCCAAGTGAAGAGTGTAGCTGTCAGTCCTATTAAGAGCCCCTCGTCTGTGTGCAGTGTGCCTCCTGCCACCAGCTGTGTGGAGCAGAGCAAAAAAGAGAGAGACAATGGCCTAAATGAGTCTCTGCTGCCAGGTAATGAAGACAGAGATAGACAGAGCAAGGAAGTAGCTGACCTATTGGAGGAATTTATGACGACACTGGGTGTCACACACAGACAGGATGGGACAACAAATACAACAGGCAAGAATTGTCTTATTCTGTAGTAGAATCCTTTATCCTGTTTTTGAAGAAGTCATGTTGCAAAGTTGTTCTGAGCAGCAGGGGTTGTTCTCTGAAACGTTTTGTTTTCTTGATTTCCAGCTCATGTCTTATATTTGTTTTCACCTCCCCCAGAGATTCTTAAGCAACTACTTACTGAAGTAAAACGTTTAAAGACTACATTTCAGGTAAGCAATGGCAATACTTATTAGTTTTGGGCTTTATGATTATTAAACTTACAGTATATTTGGTGTCTTATTAGTCATTTAAGGGCTTCACTGACAGATACATCTGTTATTCAAAGGTTATAGTTCCATCTACAGCAGGCAAGCTAACATTTTTTTTTTTTTTTTGAGTAGAAACATTTTGAATTGAGTTATAGACAGGAGCATAGTAGCCCCCTTTTCACTCTATCTATCTATCTATCTATCTATCTATCTATCTATCAAAAGCTTCTCATGACTAATATCCATGAATAAAAACTCTTATAAAATGTTGCTATAGATCGACAAATCTGACTTAAATAGTTTTTATTTTTAACTTCTTTTTACTTCTCAAATAGTTTTCCAAATATGCCACTTAAGTAGATTTCTCTGTGCTGTTTTTCCATGGTTTATTGAACTAAATCTTTCGTAATCAGCACTGGATGTTTAAAATGAAGCACAAATATCCACAAGCTGTGAGATTTCCTTTAGCTCCCCAAATCTAAGTGCTGCTGCCATCATGTCTGAGGATATGCTGACTTGACCCTTGTCTCTTTATCATATAGGCTACTTGAATTTAGAAAAAAAAAAAAAGAAGTGATTGAGCTTTATGCTGCATTCTTATAGTGTATCCAGCTGGCTGAGATGTAAATAGAGCCCATACTAAATAATATAAAGATAAAGGTATTCCCTATTTTTTCTGTTATTATTATATTTAATGAAGCAAGCAAGAACTCTTCTCTTTTTTTCCACATTATGTAAAAAGATTGCATGGGGTGGGGGAGCAAGAGTTGTTTTTCATATTTTCTTTGTTAGTTTACATTTAAAACAAATGATGCATGGATTTAGTGACACAGAAAGAAAATGATTGGACTAATTGATTTATAGTTTGTTTGATTTTATTTCATGTGCTGCATAGATTTTCTTGTGTGCTGTGCTCGACAGCAGTCCCTCACACCAAGCAAGCGTGTAGCGACAGTGGAGGGGAAAACTTTCTTTTAACAGGAAGAAACCTACATCCGAACCAGGTGCAGTGTGAGCAGAAATCTATCGAGGCTAAGTTCAAGGAGATAGACGCAGGCATACAAAACGAAGCAGGGCTACAACAGATAACTGTTACTTGGCTCCACAGGTGGCCCCCGTCCAGGAAAGATGCACCCATGCAGATGAGCTCCCTCTTCAAATAATGAAAGAACATATACCATTATTTATAGTAAGAAAACAGGATTACACTTAAAAACAGGCCAAGCTCCAATATCTATAAACAAAGGTGTTGATGGCAGCAGTACAGCTGATATTTCTGTCCAGGATGGTGTCACAGCCAATCAGGAACTGGCCAGATGAAGCTACTATGATGAGAGAAACTGGAGAGGGAATAAAGTTAAAGGTGTCATGGTGTATTTAAGAGATGTGACCCACATACAGGAAAACCACTCAGAGAAACCAGAGAAAAGTTTAACAGGTTTATTGAGGAGTTCAAAGGGTTGGATTCGGGGAAACTCAGAGAGCTGGTGAACTGGAACTGGAAGTGAGAAAGGAAGTTCACAGAGGTTAGTTCAGGGTCTGTGGTAACTTTGAACGTCGTCTTGCAAACACGATTGTGGAGAAAGGTTTCTTCCCTCAATCCAGTGTGGGTTTTTGCAGATATTGAGGGGCTCGTTGGAGAGCGGACAGGTCTTTGGTTTGGTTGGTTCCTGAGGAGCAATGGGGAGGACTGCCACTTAGATTTCCTGGAGAACTTGAACGGGTTGTGTGGTGATGAATCCCCTGCTCAGTGTGAAGCACAAACAATTCTTCTAGGGGGAGAAGGCCAAACATCCAGAATTCAGGATGAATTCCTGCCGAAAGATAAGGACAAAAAATCACGTTAGGCCCAGAGAAACAAAAACTCAGTTAGACTCAGCTAAACTCAGCTTGGCTAGAGTACCCAAAACTGGCAAACACTCCGGCCTCGAGTTAGTGACAGTCCATGGCTTAAGTACTCCTCCAGATAATGATCCAACAAGACGCAGGTGTGCAGGGAGGACCAACGAGGACAGGGCGCCACCTGGTGGTGGAGGGAGAGACAAACACAAACAACAGACCACACAAACTGGATTTCTGACAAAAGGTTGAATTAACAAATACCGTATAATGGGAGAATAGAGAAAGAATAAAACAGAATGATGAAAAGTAGTCCCTATGTCCTTCAGAAATCTAAGCCTATATGTGCATAACTATAGAAATCAAAGCTACTTTTTGAAAGAATATTTAATTTGTCATTTTTAATATGAAATGACTAATGACGGATTAGTTACGAAACAATCTCCACACCACCCAACTCTAGTTCTAAGCATAATATTGACCTATTCCCACAAAGCTGTCTTGCAACATTAATAAAGCTTACATGTATTCTGATTTTCAGTTCATTCTGTAGATATTGTTTAGTTAGATTGATATTTCTTGGATCCGAAATTTGGGGGCCTAAAAATATCAATCTAATTGTAATCTTTTTTTCCCCAGACAATTGATAAATTACCTTTCTTAAGTAAACAGGAAGCCACTGAGAAGACAGGCTGGTGGTTATGACCCTTTAGCTGTGAGCTAGTGCCGACACACAGTCTGTCACCTCCCTGCTCTCATACCACAAAGGAACTTTGGAATGAAACCTACTTTGCCTGCTGGAAACCACAGCTTTGTTAATTAAAGCTTTTCCTGTCCTGTGCTTCTCCTCAGAGGCCTGAGAGAGAAAGAACTAATCTGAAATCATCTTTTGCAAGATATGTTGACAATTTTCCCCTCTTTGATGTAGAAGCCTAGAAGTCTCATTTTCATAGTCACGTTTCCTACTAAATTCTCTCTATGTTCAAACTAAGCCCAACATGAACAGCCTGAGTACAATGAGAACAAAATTAAATTCCTTTAAGAATTCCAGAGTCATATTTCTAAAGCTCTCTGTCTTTTCATGAGGATGGTGATGTTCTGTGGTAATTTCCTGTCACTCACTTATTCCAATTCCTGACCCTCCCTTATGAGCCAGATGCTCTCAGTTTGCTCTATGTCTGCCTCAGATTACGACAGATGGAGATGACCTACGGTCCACCTCTCTCATCTGCATTCAGTTCCTCCTGTTCTCTTCTTCCTTCATTTGTAAATTAAAAGCTGGCTTTTCCTTACTCCAAATCTCACTGATGTGATCAGTTTTTTAAACCCAAGCTTTCTTGTAATTGCTTTTACAACCTGCTCTCCGTTTCTTTTTATTTATTAAAGAAAGGAAAGATGCTGCTGCTATTATCTTCTTTCTATATACCATAGGTTTTGTCTGAGCTGTTGAATTGCATGAACAAGGAAAAAAAAACAAAGTTCAATTCATTGTGCACACAAACTTGGTCATCAAAGTGGAATCTGATTCCAATTATAGTTCAAATGCAGCTCACATGTTTTCCCCTGATTTTCATTTCTAAAAAGAAAGGGAATTATGTATTATGTAATTCTTTTAGCACATACAATACAAATTTATAATCACTCATATTTGTAGTATTTAAGTAACATATGAAAAAGATCCTTGCATGGGAAATCTTGTGTTTTACTTTTGTATTTCTGGTAATTGGCTGGAAGTGCATTAATAAATAGAGCAAGAGTGCATGTTTTTATTAAGGCTTTAGCAGCAGGGTTCCCTTCTAACTGATCCTCCAATTCCTCCTGTTACTTCTATATTGTCTCACCTTCTCTCCTCCTTCATTAATCTTTTTTATCTGAACTCAACTTTGAATTTGTCTTTAGCCGATCTGACCCATTGCTTAACCTTTTTTCATTTCACTTTAAGACCCCATTACTCCTCCTTTAACATTTTGAAAGCAGCGCTCTTCTATATTTAATTTAGTTTATTTATATAGTGCCAATTCACAACACATGTCATCTCAAGGCACTTTACAGTTCACCAGGTCATACAGTCAAATTGATTAAAAGTTTTCTATCTAAGGAAAAATAGTTGATTGCATCGATTCATTGACACAAAGGCAATCCCTCACACTATATAGTTTCTCTTTTCCCCTTTCAAAAATCTTCCTATCATAGTCTGCCTCTCCCAGACGCAAAATGTTTTCCCATTGATCCCTTTGCAGCGCCCCATCTGTCTGGGTTCAAGAGTTTCAATTGTCTTAACTAGCAAAAATGAAATCGGGCCATTCATTGTCGGACAATTGCATGTATGTGCGTTGCTGCGTGGGTGGCTGGTTAGATTTGTGTTCCCACCAGTCCCTCTCAAAGCTAGGCTTCAGAATCAGTTCCAGGTGAACGCTGCTGGAGATTTTTTAGAATGATCTGCTGGTTCTCCTTTCTCTGCTCGCTACACTGCTCCTGCAAACAAGGCTTAAAAAGGGCCCCTCTACGTGGAGGATGGAGGTCATGTAGGCAGGTCACGTGTTGAAAGAAGTCTGTTCAACAACCAGTATTTTTTTTTTTTTTGTGCTGCTCTGTTTTTGCAGTGTTAGTTCATGGTGATTGCAGCTGTGGGCTCCAAAACATGCAGCTTGAAGGCTTCCCCAGATTGTTTCACTTGTGGAAATCAACTGTTTATGATGCATTGGGCATGGACTGTAGTGAAATACAGTTTAGTGCATTTTGAATGTTGTAATGACTAACATTTGGGTATATTTTTTTAGGACGTAATGAGGAGACAAACACTAAATAGTGTATAATTGTAAAGTGGAAGAAAAAGTACAGTTTTTTAGATTTATTGCAGTATACCAATGCTTTGGAGAATCACATTTCCTTGTAATTACAGCTCTTTTAAGGTCAGTTTAAAAAAAAACAAAAAAAACCCAAGAAACTATAACTTGTGTTTCTTTTTAGATTGTTTAAAAAATGACTTAATTAACAATTTCTTAATAAATCAAAATAGTTTCTTAATTCATCTAACAGGCTTTGAAAAAGGAGAAAACTGTAGAAAAGAGCTGTTTAGCTATTTGGACATTTCCCTAAAGTACGTATTCCAAAAACTGGGT